TTTGTCATTTTACCTCCGTCTGTTTTATGTGACCTTCCTCTGAGAGATTGAAAATTATTTGGCATCAAGCCCCATGAGAGCATTCGAAGCCTACTGAGCGAAGAGTTCCACTATGAGTTCCAAATTTTGAGTTGCACTGTGATTAAATTGTGTCAAGAAATTAGTAAGTCACTTTTCGTTATGAAATAGAATTTTCGATTACTATATATTGGACGATCAGAAAAAACTAGTAGCACAATGCAGTGTTGATTAGGGAGAGATACATGACTTTGGTTTCCATGAGACCAAAGGATTGCCAAATCCACATTCGGCCTGAACCGCGTGGAGTTCATCCAAGAGGCTTTGTTCTTGCAACCGTAACTGTAATAAAAAAAACATGGAATGGAATTTAAAAGGCATATGTTGGAAAACAGTAAGCATGAATTCGTCGGATTGCTTGATTTTAAGTTAAGATCAAGTAACGATGAATGAAGAAATTTTAGTACCAACCGAAGTGCTTCCACTTTGGAGTTCTCTGTTTGCAGCAGCATTTCTGATAAATACTGAATAGTCCAGTGACACTGTTTCTACCTTTCATTTATCAGTTCCCTTCGACTCAAAACACACTTTTTACCGGTTAAACAGGATGTACCTTACCTGTTTACGCTCAACCGCGGAATTGTGACTTTTCTCGGTACAACGTATAGCCGTAGCGCGGCTATTTTGATTGGATAGTGAGTCGTGTGCATGTCTCACTGGACCTTTGGTACATGTTGGTTTGTTTTCTGTACCTTGCAGATTGAGCGTAAAGGCCCTCTGGAATACCACGAGCACTGTTCCTCAGTGATCCCCTTAGGAGTACAAGTGATCGGTCGTGTTAGCATTTGCATATCGAATGCCCGACCTTAGCTATAGATCACGGGTATTCGTGTATCGAATCCATGCCCGAGTGTATCTCGCGGCTAAAAGCTGACTAGCCACATAACACTGTAAGTTCAGAGTGTCGTTGCACACTACATCGGTGAGTCACACTGTCTCGTACGCATATGGACCTCTCCCTCCTGATTTCACTCTTAAAGGTTTATATAAACCGTTGGTCACGCGTTATCTGCTTTCTTACCCGCTTGGAGCAGTAGTCGCATTGCTCTCCATCCTATTCAAGAGCGTTCAGGTAACTCGCCTTTAGTTGTCGTATATAGAGCACGAACTTTATCAATAAGGCATCAGGAATTTATTACAATTGGTTTAGTTGCTTCTGTTTATTGAGCCCACTTCAACATATCATAGTCTGTGTGTCTCATTGATCCGGCTGAGTTTCGCCGCTGAAAGAAACCCATGGATTCAATTGATGTGCCGTCGTTCAACTTTTATTTATATTGATTAATCAAACTTGCTTCCTATACCGACTATTATATTATAATTGAAGAAATCACGAATCTATCAACCGGTTTGCGCATGTTTTTCTTCACTGAACTTGTAGTCTCATTACGCTGAACTCTAATAAAACCCGTTTAAGTTGATGCGATTCAAATGATGAAAAATGGGAGGGATTGAAGCACAAAACTTTGGACTGAGGGAATAACTAGCTATTCAATGTACTTTTGCTCGTCACGTAGTTTGAAATAGCTATGCTCATAAGACGAATGACAACGCCATTAATTCAGTTTTGTTGAATATCTGTTTTCAGGTGGTGAGTAATGAAGAGATTGTCCAGCGATAAGACCACTCACTGCCTTTGGGACCGAAATGTTTTCTTTTAAACTCCTTCGTGTTCAGTTCAAAGTTGAACGTTACGCAAGAATAACAAAAAGTGCTAAGTATAAAGCTGCATTCAGCATGCGACGAAAGTAAATCCCACTAGGATGGAATCCTAATCGTTCAGTAATATTTGACGGCACACATCGAGCTGCACGTTACATGACAAGAAAAATGACAGTTATTCTCCTGAGTGACTTTCGGAATATTAAGGTTTTATAGGGAAATGGAGAAGTTCTCGATGGAAAATTGAAGCCCATCAACTCAAACCGAATGAAGTCTGCGTTCGCTGGAAAGCGCAGTTCGTCTGCTCAGCCTCCAGTTTCCAAATTCACTACCGTATTTGAAGAAACTTCTTGACATGCAATCGCTTTGAAAGTTTGGGGAAGAAGAAATCTTAACCGTCGTCTTAGCTGCGTGAAAGTTTCTACAGCTTGGGTTATTTTCTGCCTAACCGTCGACTGGAGTTAACAGTATGTCACCTGTGTCTCCCTTCGTTGCTGTCGGGCCACAATGAACTATCACTGGAGACGAAACCTGAACAAACATAAATTGGTGGTTTGGTTCAGCCATGATATGAGCTGGCTGGCACAGTGGTAACGCAAACGCTTTCGATGCGATGGTTCCGGAGTTCAAATCCCGGACGAGACGGTGGACGTGTACTACTGATGAGCTCTAATAAGAGGGAAACTCGAGTCTACAGCTGAAAAAAATAAAAATACAGAAATTTGTATGTCGGCCTGCACGTTCCATACCTGATGCGGTTGTGACCAAGAAGTTTAAAATCATCAGAATCGTGTTCTTAGAATACAGAACTTTAGTTGGCGGTCTTTATGGATCAATATTGCTCAAGCTGATTACCATTACCCGAATGAACCCGACTGTTCGTAGATTTATCCGTTGGTATTACATAGATCGAAGGCGGTTCACTTATTGATCGTTAAGAAATCTTCGACTCCCCGGGTTGCTTCTGGTGTTTTGCAGTTTTTCCCTGTTTTCATCTTCACTGTTTATTGAACGATTTCTCATTTCTTCTACTGACACCGACTGGAAATACCCCGTAGACGTTCGTTTAATGACACGATGCACCCACTTTTGAAGAGGCTTAAAAATTCAATGCAAGCTAAACGATTGTACAAAACGGTCCCTATCCCTTTCCTTTTCATTGAGTGTTTCAAAATTCCAGCATACCTTGTTTTTCCCTTTGGTTGGGGAACCATTTTTATCCTTGACACAGATTTCCTGCTCTTTCTGCCTATCATGAACCGATAAAAAAAATCAGAAACGGCAAAATATCTTTCAGTCAGACTATAAAACGATTGCTCATAATTCCTGCATGTCCAGAAAAAATTCTGTACGATCAGGAATCTGTCATATTTTTCTCCCCGATTAGGATTACTTTCTGTTCCCCGTAATTTGATTGGTAAATTTGTGAGTACATGCGTGCTCCCTACCCCCACTGGTTGTACTGCTCCCTAGAGATTTTTCCTGGTCTGTTGAGAAGCGATCATTTACTAGCAAGATCCCTAAAACGCATCCCTGAAAGCAGTGACATCGCTATGGTTAAACTGGCAGACACTGTCATGAACACGCCCCACACAAACATATGAAACTTTTTGTTTCGAGACATTCATCACCCAGTACACTACGAACTTTCAAAAGCAATATAGACATCGTCCCCACGCTCCAGGTTCAAAGTTCTATTTGCACGCAGCTCATGGTATCGGAATTACGCAATTGCCTATTGAATTATGAAAGTCGATATTGTGGTGAATATACATGAACTATGAACTCGCTTGTCTTATTTCNCTCATTACAGCTCGATTTATTTGGTGAGTGCTGTGTTTTGAGTTCATTCCGAGTTCTAATATTGGACTGGACTATTACTGCACGGATTTTGATACGTACACGAATTACTAGTCCGAGTGCAAACCATAACAGATAACTTACAATTTTAATTTAATCTTGCCTTGATTTTATATATTGACGCTCATGAATATGGTGCAAAATGCTAAAATATCGCCCATCCGGGTGCATCAGGCTACTACTGGCCTAATTGGCTTGAAATGAAAAAATGGAACAATTAACCTAGCTAAAGTCAAAATTTACTGAAACGGCTATGTGAAAGCTAAACAATTGAAAATTGATCAATCAGGTGGATCAGCAGTGTTGTGTAATTTGGAAATAATAAAGATCCATTTTCAATCATGGGATAAAGGGAATAGGTAAAATATGAGCTGAGCTGGGGGGCGGGTAGTTGCACCAGTCAATTACCATGGCAATGATAGTCGTAATCATGTAACCGTTCATATGTGAGATTATTCGTGAACCGTTACAATCTATCCTGAATACGCGAAATCGATGACCAGTATTAATGCACTCATACTGTGTTGCTTATTAAAACCAGATAGTCGTTTCAATATTCTTCTTGTCAAGAAAGGAGCAAAGAAATTTTGGTTCTATAATTTTGAAGCAAACTGTAAACATCTAAACTCAACTGGAATTTCATGTTCTTCTTACAGGACCACGGAAATGAAAAAAAACATGCAACGGAAGAACTTTGAGTTTGGATGCAAAACAAGATGAATAAATGGTTTAATTTGCAACTATTGTCTGGCTCGGAACACAGCAACGTAAATAACACGGCCTTCTGACATCTCATATTTGGAAATCCGGTACTTGAGTACGTCTGCTACGGCAATTAGCCGCGTTCCCTTCATCACTAATTGGCAATGCTTGCTTAATTATCCCACCACGGCGTGCGATGTTTGCCGAGGCAGGTTGTGGGTGGAACAAAGCCAAGGGTGGTCAAACAAAGACCTGGCACGAGGGTATCAAAACCCTAACCAGGAGTTTGGGTCACATAGATCCCACTAGACTCCCTGGCTGGGGACCGCGAGATCATGATCACCGATCGTTAGAGACACTGTGATAAAGCTGAGTGTCATAAATATCTCAATTTCTTTGCAACCCTTGACCGCTGAAATTCTCCATTTTCTGTTCGACTCTACTTTCAACCTTCCTGTTTTTCTTCTATTCTTCATCTAAATTGGCAGCCAAAAGACAGCAACCCAAGCCGCCGTACGAAGGTGCATGGTTAATGGTCGTACAAACTGAACTGAACTGAACTACCAAACTTGAGCACTGTTACGTGGGTAACATCCCGAAAACATTCGATTCGATCAGTGATACAACACGATTCACCAGTCCATTCACAAAGCGTATTCAAGCACGTGAATATCGTATTTGATTTGTACAAATCTCACCTTGATAGCATACTTGTACGTTTGTTCGGCCTCCGTTTGTCGCATTGTTTTCAGACAGATCAAAGACAAATAAGCCCAAACAGTAGGGTTGCGATTATTTAGATAGTTCGCCTCGATCAGCGCCTGTTCCGCGTTATCCAGTTCACCAAGCTGTTCAAGTGCGATAGAAGAACGAATAAAGGGATACAAATAATTTGATAGTCACAGCAGGTTAAATTAAACAAAACACAAAATGAGATTCGTTAAAAATGATACCCTCGACTTCTTTAAATCATGACTACCAGTCGGTATTATTCCTGTGGACAGATTGTAAGTCAATGAGTTGATTTTGTGAAAACGGCGAGGACAACCACGACACGTACACGAGAGCTGAACAACGGTGTGAGGTGCAGATGACCGGGTAAGAAAACCGTGAACTGTAATCTATTGCGAATAGTGCGCAGTGATTGCAAATCACAGAACAAAATGTCAACAGCCGAGCACAGCCTCAGAAAGATTTGCGCACGCTGGATACCCCAGTTCATTGAGGAAAAAAGCACTTCAGGTGAATTGGTGCTGCCCCGCCCTTACCAGGTTTGATAGTGAACGTTTCAAGGCAGTTTGTGAGATCATCAGTGGTGATGAGACCTGGGTGTACATTTTCCACCAATAGACCGAGCAAAAACCAACTGAGGGCCAAGAACAGCTGCAGTGGAGGCCTTCATTGAACCGGTCGAAGGGTTACCTGCTTCGGCCTGGTTGAGCTGTTTCCCCAAATGGTTTGAGCTCATGGAACTGTGCATAAACGCTGTTGATGAATACTTCGAGAGAATGTAATTCTTAATTTTTGTGTGCCAATAAAATGTTTTATGCATCTGGAAACTTTTCACTCAGCCATCGAATAACTCTATAGTACTATTCATACCCCTTCGTCTTGGTGGGGGTGGGAGGAGAGCGTCAAACTGAACAATAAATAGGGATGAGTATAAAAGAGGTACTCAAGGTAATACACATGATACTTCGGAAGATCGACGAGGAAAATTTTGCAACTGATGCCTCATTTCGTTTATTCATCAAGGTGCATTATTCACGAAAAGTGCAGAAAGAATTGGGGAAAGATGGGCCTGCAAAATACGCGGTGAGCTGCAAACAATGACTCGAAATACATTGTACGTGCACATCTATGAGGGAAGAAATATATTTTGAAACTATAACCGTAAGGGAAGCCTAACATTCCCCCGAGAATTCTCGAGATTCCAATTCGAGGTGGACTGGGAGCAGCCAGAAACGTGGGAACGTGTCAGCGTCTTCTCGAGGGTCCTGGATACGTTGTCCACCGGGTAACGGGTAGAGAATGACAGCCTATTTTGTGCAGGTTCTCTATCTATCTTTCCCCAATTCCGAACAAATGACTAGGGTATGATCAATCCCATATATACCCTTTATCAGTTCCCGGTTGACTGGTATTAATAACAAAGAACTGCACTGTTTGCAGCTGTCGTGCCAATAAGATCTTTGGGAAACACAATTCGTGGGACCAAGTTCAGTTTTGGTGAAACACAACTATAGCTATACCAGTTACGCAAGACAATTTGAACTAAACTTCATTATGGCTGTTTTGGTCCAGAAATCATAGGTTTCTGCGATTTACAAAGTCGTAGCATCTTCACAAACTCCATACTGATTAGTTTATCATAATCAATAGACTCCGGTGGCGTTAGTTGCACGAAGAAAATTGCTAGCCCGTCTGAACAGAATATCTCCACTGCTGTTCGCGTAACAACCGGAAACTTCGCTCAAATGACGTAAAGACGCCTATTTTACTCCAGTACGGGAGAAGAATTACTCAAAAGAAAGACAATTGGTCAAGAACGGTCAGTATTTTTAGCTACATCCATTGCTGCCTGCAAAAACATATCACATTTTTTGTGCGAACAGCCTACGCAGTGTGGACATGTGTGAACTGATTATTCCGGGCGGTTATTTCAATGCAGATTACATTCAATTACTCACCCGATAGCATGCTGTACCAACACCAAGCCATGTCAGACAGGTAGGTGATTCTTTGCTGGCGGCAAGGAAGGTGTGTTTCGCCTTTTGGAACTAAAACAGGAGGGAAATATTCGCAATGACAATGATCATCTTCATACGTCTATGTACCAGCTAAGCAACAATTACACTGCAACACTTCAAAAAGCAAATAAATTTGGTGTGTATATGTTGTTATGAATGTGTGAAGTGCATCAGCCCGATTATATCATGAATCCAAACCCAGACGGTTTGTTGCATAATATTGCACTGATCATTCCGAGGCTTCTTCATCATTCCATTGTGCATTCTATCTATTTGATATGAGGCAACTATTTTTAACTACATCGCATAGTATTCAACCATGTTATGCAGTATGTATGCAGTACATATTTGATTCATTATACGATTTTTTGGGAATTTTCATTCACTCCACAACGTGCAAATTCATCGAGTTCTGGAAGCGGCTCAAGACATTGTCATTTCACTTTGTGAAATCGGAGTATTTCACCAATCGACGTACTGTTAACTCGTTTTTACGGCCAGAGCAATTCCAGTTTAGATTCTTTGTTGACTCCTGCAAACTTTCTAATCCTCTTTTAATCACGAACTCACTGCACATTTCGGTTGCTCTGCTTTTCATGATCCCTACTGTAATATCACATGAATAAGTTTCCGAATTCCATGCGTTGCCTAACAGATTTCTTTTGGTAATCACAACATATTCACCTCTTTGATTGGAAGGTATGTGTGAGCACCGAAAAATCAATTCGTTCAGATACCTCGAGGGCTATTTCGGAAATCCAAACTCACCCGAAAGTATGAATTAATCCATTGATCATCTTAATTGTTCAGTGGAATCGAGAGAACAAAACTGAACAGTGAAAAGTAGGGAAATTAGTTTTTTGTATTTGTCCTTGATCAGCTATTTTTCGAGCACAACAGGTGAACGTGAAGAGATAATCCAATATTAAGACAGTGTTTGATGATCAGGAGACAAGTCTATCAAACGGCGCTCAGATCTGAACAGTCAGCTTTTACAATTAGAATTCAGTTTACACTTGCAACCAATGTGTGTGTGAGATGAAATTTTGATGCACACAACATTGGGTTACGCAACTTTATTAACATCTCTTCGCTAAACGCCAGGATCCTGGGATTTGCGTAAGTTACGTAATAACGGCTCGAAAGACAAATGTGCGTCAATCATTTGTCCAGTTAGCATGTGATGTTTTACGAGATTAAAAGAAATGTTAACATCTTGTAGTATTCATCTTCTCTCTGTTCTCATGAATTGGATGAAGGGGACCCAATATTTCAAGTTAATAAAAAGACGACTTTCCGAATCTATTACGAAACGGCTGGACAGTTTGCGTTGCAAAACTGCAGTGGAACGGACAAAGGTAGAATTTTATCGGGAATGTATTCGTTTCGGGTGAATTTACGATGCGGTTCTCAAACATTAGAAGTGAACACAGTCAACTTAGTTAGAATAACTAATTTCCATCTGGAGGCCGCAAGTTTCCAATTGAATAAGTTTATCGAAAAACAGCAAAGTTTCGCTATTCTTCTGTGTAAACTCAATTTCTTTTGTCGCAATAATTATGAAAATCTCTAACGAATGACCATTTCGAGGACTAAACCAAGAANAGCTCGCTATACCGACCTCACAACACAGTTCACATTTTGAAGAGCACAGATGGACATATTCACAGCCCTTCCAGTATCGTCATTTTTACCGAATATGATCATTTTGACAACATTTTTACACTACTTAATGTTGTTTATCCCTATCCCTATGTTTCCCTTGAGGAGAAAAAGGACGAATGTTTGAGATTTTTAGATATGAAAATCAGGAGGCAATCAGATGGCCCCCTGCAAAGATCCGTCTACCCGAAGACCACATGGAGTGGACAATACTTACAATTTGCTAGTTTTGCTCCTGTGGTACACAAAAGAGATCTGGTGAAGACTCTGTTCCATCGTGCCAGGAATATTGGCTCTCCTGACACTCTTCAATAATTAAAGGCCTCTCTGCAAAGGACGCCACTGGATAATCGTTATTCAGAGAAATTCGTTTGGACAATGGAAAACACAACAACACAACAATTCTGCTTTACATGTCATCGGCAGTTGATCGGCAGTTGCGGTGACACTTACATCGGCAGAACGAATCGGCCCCTGTCACAACGGATGTTTGAACACATTCCGAAGTGGTTGATACAGTCAATGACACAACACAGTCTTCGAGGTCAATCTGATAAGAGAAATACAGGGTCATCAGTTGCAAAATATCTCATAAAACCCGGACACATCGTTGACCCACATTTGTCGTTCAAATCGTTATTATCTAACATGAACTCCAGGNTATTAAAATAGATTTGCACATTTTTATTAGGGGGATTCGCATTATTTCATTTTACCCAGAAATTGGCTGCACTCCCAACGATCAAGGTTACCACGCGTACTCACAGCTATCCATGATAAGTAATCCCATAAATTGTCAATCGTATGAAAGGCGAATCTTTTGTGTCAAGCTTTTTGTCAGTATTTCGACCCATCGATTCTTCTTCCTTGGCAATTTCAGACTGTGTGCAGCAGCAAACCATTCACCTCATTATCGATTCTTTCTTAGAATCCCCATTCTGATTAGCTAGATATTGCTGTAAAATCTTCTCCGTTTCACTGTCTACCGTCCACAAAACG